GTCAACGATGTCTCCTGGGCAGTCTTAGACCTTTCTCCATGGATTGACCATACCATGAATGAGGAGTTGCTAGCAGTCTTAGATCTTTTCTCTTTTGGGGGATTTCTTTATTCCGTGACCTGTTGATTTCTTTAATGCCTTCCAAGTAGCAGTTCAAACAGCACCAAGTGCAGCAGTTTTTACAACCGCTGGGAATGCAGCGGCTATCGATGCTGGTATAGCTGCAAAAAGTGGAAATAAACCACCCGTTGTGACTCCTGTCTTTAATGGCACACACATGCAGATTAAGAATGTGGATATGTGAGAAAGCTTGCCAGTAGCTTCTTGTGGGTCGGTGGTTCTTTACGGTGATTTCCCGGTTTCTTCCTCCACCATTAATACTGGCCGCCACGAATAGCTCAACAACAACAACATACAGATTAAGTCCAACGACGGTTTTCGATCGTTTGTTGCCATTGAAGTGCCTGAGTTGACGTTCTGTCAGCGATAGATTTTTTTTTAACCATCTGTGATCTGTTCTGTTTGCAGCAATATTTTTATTACATCATAATACCATACACGATTTAATTACATGTTTCCTGCTGGGGCATTAGTCTCATTTGTCTACCAACACCTTCAAGCATCATTGTTTTGTCTGAGAGTATAACAGCAATTGCTCTGTAACCACCAGTCGTGCTACGCGAGCTCAGAAGTGTATGTCAACGACTGATTGAACAAATCCAAGTGTTCATTGAGAAATAATAGATCGTTGTAAATTCCCTCTGCGATATCTGCAAACCAGAATCAACATTCTGATCATGCCCCATGAATGTCATCAACCAATGATAAGCACATGCAGCATGATTATCAAAATTCAGCAAGACTTCTTCCGAAAGTTCTTGATATCCATTTATTCTCAAAGTAACTTCACTAACCCCAAGCATGTCAAACACCATTGGATTTCGTTCCTATGAATCTTCTCTGCCATTTTCCTGAAATGTGATGAATACATGTCGTGGTGCTTGACACCCACCGCAGTGATGCTATCTGCCTTATGAAAAAACCAGCAACATTGCTTTCATTACAGTCTGGGGTCATCGTCCAGTGCCATTTTAAAACATAGGCACATGAGGCACGTGCCTAAGGCCCCACGGTGGCCCAAAAACAACTTAGGTGTCTGTTGTGTTAGCAGTTTAATATCATATTAATAAATTTAACAAAATGACACACATGGAAATGAAATGCAATACTCTATATCTGAGAGATAGAGGTGCAATTATGGTTACTTTTAAGGTTAGAGTTTGTGCCTAGGGCTCCCAAACTTTTTAAAACAATGTTGATTTACCACCTTGATCTATAAAAAGGGAGCAACCGTTCCTCGGCCTGAAAATTTTTCATCGCCGTTCAACATTAATCGATGTGAAGCAAATTCAAAGTTGAAAGTTTCATTCATTGATGTAACTAAAGTTAGAGCTGCATTTAGTGTTACTTTTCTGCTTTCCGAATATCAATTATATTCTTTGCAAATATTAACGGACCAGCTGATCTCAAGTAATCATCGCTGTATCTTGCACTGCCATTTATCGTCGTGGCAACTTTGATGTTTTCCAGGCATGATTCAGTATTGCATCCGTCGATGTTACACGTGGCACTGTTAAATAACGCCATCACGTCATTGCTACAAAACCAACACTATTGCCAATTCCGTACGCTGTATTATCCGTTTAAAAAAATTTACCATCGTTCTCAATGAATGCTTCTGCGGGCAGGAAATATATACTTGTATCCTGAACTTGCAACTCGATTCTTCCTCTGTGTTAGGTACACGCGCGTCATAAGAATAATATTCATAATCATGCACCGCTTCATCCTTTGTAACTGGTGCGTCCTTGTCAATTGCGGGATCAGATACACGCTTAAACATCTTTATTCTTCTTGTCTAACACGAAGACCACTTCCTGCTGTTAGGCTAGCAGTTATATTGTTTTCTTTTTCTGATAGGGGTACATCGTACATCTCGGGTAGTTATTGATTTGCAGCTTGATTTATTATTTTACTAACATTTGTTAGTATAACTTCTGTGCAGAGTAATTTTATTGGCTGAGGTTTTCGTCGTATCAATCGTGCTAGTCTATCTTTGATTACTGAGAATGCTTTGCTAGCAAAAGCACCAATACCTTTTCACGAACGTCAACAGATTTCATTCCCAGTTGCTTTGCAATCGGTATTGTTTTTGAACATCACCTAGTCCTCCGTAGATAGCTTTATATGTTGGTAATCGCGAATTTATCACCCTGATCATTACAGGTCCAAGTCGAACATTATGTATGATCATCTTATTTGCTTGTGTCTGATCTAATTGCATCGTCGCAGTAATCATCAATAATTTCATCAATAAGGGACATATAAACAATAATATCCATGATACCTCCAGTAAATAATCTCCGAAAAATAGCAGTTGCTTCATTAATGATTTCTGGGAAATTATTGCCCGTTCGTTTTCCCCAATCAGAATTTCTAGTCATTCAACATCAGCAAGGACGTTACTGGACAGAGAGTAATAAGACCACTTCCCCTGGTACCTGGACCAAAAGTGGCAATACCACTTGCAGTGGAGACAGGGTCAGACCTTGCATCATGCCATTTTTATCTTCCTCACCTTTTGTTTTGCCTACTTTTTTCCCTGCCCTTGAGGATATATATATATATATATATATATATATATATATATATATATATATATATATATATATATATATATATATATATATATATATATATATATATATATATATTACTATCCTAGTTGCCAGAGTGTCAGTATATTCGGGTTTTAGATACTTATCTCTATCACGATATCCAAATACGGCAATATTAATTAATTGGGTTCAGTCCTTCATATTGGCAATACCTTAGGGCATAAATTTTTCTATTATCTTGGTTCTGCCTTTGGTGGTTCATGGTGTGGCTGAACTTCGGTTTGTGGTTGAGAAGGTTGCCTGACGGTGGTCGGGCTGCTCGAAGACGGCCAGCAATATCAACAGGCAATGTTTGAAGAGCTTTTGCTGCTGCTTCAGTTGCTGTAACAATTTACTTGGATGGTTCGACAATTGGTTTAAATAATGTTCTGTACCTTATGTAATTTCCTTCTGAGATGTCTGACAATCTTGTAATATTTGTTTGACAGAATCACTGAATTGGAGAAATTTCTTAAGGTGGCTGGGTCCAGTTTCGTAATTTGGCACATGGCAAATTTCTTGAGGCTATGGTGGGATTTTTTCAGCATGGATATATTTGTGAACTAGGAGTTATGGGCTTGTGTTGTTTTTGAAATATATGTCAGGCATGGTTTAAATAATGTTCTGTACCTTATGTAATTTCCTTCTGAGATGTCTGACAATCTTGTAATATTTGTTTGACAGAATCATTGAATTGGAGAAATTTCTTCAGTTGGCTGGGTCCAGTTTCGTAATTTGGCCCCTGGCAAATTTCTTGAGGCTATGGTGGGATTTTTTTCAGCATGGATATATTTGTGAACTAGGAGTTATGGGCTTGTGTTTGTTTTTGAAATATATGTCAGGCATGTACACATTCCATAGTTACTCTGCAGTATGTTGATAGTAAAATGTCAATAGTTGGCTAGGAAGAAGAGCTAGCAGTAAACACGTGGTTTTAAAGCAAGTAGAATATACAAAAAAAAAAAAACGGTTCGGATGACAACTATTTTCAACTGCATCAGCCTGTTTAGTACACACTGTTTATTCAGAATTGCCATCAAGGAAAAGGGCTTGTGTTTGCACTGTGAGCACCACATGGTGTCAAATATGCAGGTATAAATTTGGGGTTGGGGTGCATAATCTTCTGCTATGAACTGCCACTGATTTCTCTGGTCAAGTTGATATTTTTATGCTTTGTTTTAATATAGGTATCTCAAAATATGGACCTCATTTGTGTATCTGATTTTTATGATTTTTTTTTTGTACTGATTGCAGCATTAAATTTGTACATAAAAACTGGCCCCTGCCTCCTGAATCGCCTCTAGTTGCTGTCGAGCTAGTTTAGATGTGCGAGATTTCATGGTTAGTGTTATTATCCATGTAATAATGATTAATTATTCTGATACCTAAAGTGATCAGAGATAACTGCAATATTCTGGTTGTATTTCGCGGAGTTGATACTCACACATAACAAAAACACGCAACCGAAATTGGCATGATCAGCCAATAGGTATCACGGTACCAATTGTTTTTCCATAGACCTCAATGCTAATGTTTTGCGTATTAAAAAAAATATACTTTCTATCCTACCTCAGCATGCATGTCACACACTGTCACAGACAACAATGTTAGATTGTCAATTTAACAAGAACGTAACTAGCTACTCTATTGCATTTAAGAGACATAGCTATGCTGGAACTAGACAGGGGTAAGAGTTATCTAGTTACACAAGACACATTTTCAGTCATGTATACCACATTTAAAAAAAAATCTTAAAATATACAAAATGTGATCTAGATGAGTTAACATAATCTCACATGTAGCCAAGAGGCTCAACTTTTTTTTTCAAGCTTAACTGAAAGTACAATTCTTACATAATGCACCAATTACCGCTAGTTTTGTTGTTTGTTTCTGAATGCAATGTTACACCTTAAGATCTGCCCACCTGGGGTTGTACAATTCGTACCGTTATATCAATAGACGTACTTAGCATGGGCCATGTATACAGGTAAGAGACCGTTACGTTTCGCTCGAGGTACACATAGCAGCAGCAGGGAGGGTGACGACATACATTGAGTATCTGGATAGATAAAAGAGAACGCATAAAAATGTGAAAATACAAGCAACAAAGATAAAATAACAAAATGCGCTAACCCTTCCCGCTGCTCACTCAAATCTATTTCTACTATTTCAAATCATTATTCAGTAAATACTGAATGTTTTCTTCAGGCATTCATGTTTGAGAGGGTTCATTCTGTATGCGTTTTTTCACAGGTGTGGAATTTACAATTTCAACGTACCGCTACGGTGGTCTAGTGGCTAGACCGTTTGCCTCCGATGCGAGAGTTCGTGGGTTCAATCCCCGACCTAGAAATACTAAAGACTTTTTAAAAAAAATGATACTAACAGCTGCCTCGCTTGGCCCTCGGCATTAAGAAGTTAGTGTTAGGACTGGTCGGCCTAGTTTCAGGATAGTGTGACTGGGTGAGACATGATACTACCTATTGGCAGCAGGATTCCCCAGTACTAAACATTACTATAAACTGCCACACTGCAGGCATCTCAGCCTTGTGACTGAAAAATTGTTAAAGTTACGTTAAAAATCCAAATCCACACACATGCAACACAAGTCACACAATTATAAAGTCATGGTAGATTTTGTTTGTTCTTATAGGAACATCTGAAAATCATTGGTCATATTCAAGTAATAATTGAACCGCTCCGGTTGCTAATGGTTAGAGTGTCCATCTCGGATACGGGAGGTCGTGGTTTCGATCCCCGACCTAATCATACCAAAGACCTACAAAAAAGGTACTAACAGCTGCATCTCTTCACGCTCAGCATTAAGAGGTTAGTGTTAGGACTGGTCGGCCTGGTGTCAGGATAATGGGACTGGGTGGGGCATCATAATACATGTCTGCGGCATGATACCCAAGTGCTAGACATCACTATAAACTGTCACATTGTAGACATTGAAGCGATTGACTGAAAAAATTAAAGCTACGTTAAAAATCATAAATACATCACATCACATCAAGTAATAATTGTTTTAGTTCATTCCTTTATTGTTGTTGCAAATGTGAAAGTTTCTGGTCTAGATTATTCATATTTTCTGAATTCCAAAATCAATAGAGTCAAATTGAATTCCTTCGCTTAAATCCTCATTGAAAGGGACAGGTACAACTAAATTAATTGCATGATCAACCTGGCATCTTTCAACATACTGGTGTTCCTTTAATTTATTTACATTCTAAGAGTACTATTGCTATAACTCAATCACTTTCTTCTTAACTTTTAACTCAATCACTTTCTTCTTAACTTTGTAAGGGCCGTAATACCTAATCTGAAGAAAATTTTGAAAATGATCAAGAAAGACATAACTCTGCCACAAGACCCAAAAGATCTCTCATGTCGAACCATAATTTCAGATTTGACTTGAATTGCTGAATACCAAATTCAAGCATGACTACCTGGAAAGTTCCAAACATAAAATTGGACCTTTGATCAGATTGGACATATCTGGGAAAGCCAAAATTGAGTAACAAACTTTATCAAAGCTTTTACTATGGTTTTTGTTTCCTCAAAGGAATTGCCTCGGGAAATCTTGCTGATGCACATATTATGGTCAACAAGTATTGGTTACCAGACTTGGTCTTAGGTAAGGGACCAACGCAATCTTAGGTATCTTCCCACCATTTCACAAGTATGACAAGATCTGCAGTATTTACAAACATCACTTTTAATTTTTGGCCAATAGACGTGATTCTAGATCTTGTGATCAGTCTTATTAATCCCTAAATGACCAGCTAAAGGAGTTTCATGATCCAGGCTAAGAATTTTCTGCCTGTACGATTTTTGAACTACAACTTAATATTTCACTGACCAATCGTCACAGCAGGTTCTTCGGGTAGTCTCCATTTTCTCATAAGAATCCCATTTTTCATGAAAGAATAAACAGGTACTTCTGTGGCTTAATTTTCACTAATGACCATATGAAACAAACATGAGATATCAGGATCTTTTCCTGTTCGACGACAAGTGATTATTGTTTGTTACCCTAATTAGAATAAAGAGAAAGAGTAGTTCAAAGAGAATCACTGTGATCATACCTTTTGATTGATCCAAACAAGGAGTGAAAGAAACCTCAAAAGCCTGACCAATACACGTGTCGGCTAAAGAAATGCTTTCCTGATTAACATCGTTCTCAAGGGCCTTCCTTGCCATAGCACTGTTAAGTGCACAAGCTGGATATAACTTGGGAGAATTATTTTCCAATCTGATCGACTATCTGATCCAAACCAGGCTCGTCAGTTACAAGTGGATTAACCACAACCTTATCTGCAGTTACGTCATTGCCTAGCAATAAATGAATGCCCACAGTGGATAAAGAAAACACTTTTCCGACTCTCACGAGCCATGAAACTAAGTCGGATGACAAATTTATACAATGGAAAGGAACATTAACAAAGTCGCACTCTACTCCCTGAATAGGAACACTCGGATTACAAGACTTATCAGAAAAGGAAGTACCTGGTAATAAAAGACTCAGAAGCTCCCATGCCCCTTAAAATTTTAATAGGGATAGGACTGGCCGAATTACCCACGAGTCATATAGTACCTTTCGACATGAATCGTTCATAATTCTCCATAATAAAATCATACTGGGGTTTATTAGACCCAACACATGTGTCGCTTTCAATACATGAGCGTGACCTTGACCTCTTAGAAATAAGAGCATTTGGAATAGGTCTGTCTTGATTCTGATGCTTAATTTTCAATTTGTAGCAATCAGAACTAACGCGTTCCTTCGTCCTGCAATAGGTACACGTAGGAAGAGATAATGATTTCTGATTAATCTTATCAGAATCTTTATTTCTAAAACCTCTGCCAAATTGAAAGTTAGAAAGGCATGTATTAAGCAGAAAGATATATTTTATTACCATAAGACTGCTGAGTGGAAGACCTACTGACAAAACAAACTTTATGAGCTAAAAAATACGTATCAAGCATTTGCATTTATGAGCTAAGGAATACGAATCAAGCATCATGGTTTCGATCTTATGCTCAACAAGATAAGTCTTAAATGTCACTATGGACACAATTCTTAAAGTAATACAAATTGTCTGAGACATTCATAATCTTGATCAACTTTCTAGGCTAAGCACCAACTATTGTACAACTGGTCTTTTTCTTTTGCAAATTTAAGAGGTGTTTGTCCAGCTTCTTTTTATATAGTTCTTGATATTTTGCCGATAAGCCTCAGGGACTCAATCATAACCCTTTAAGATGCATTCCGTAACCAGATCATAATGGGCACTTTGCTGTACAGACAAGGATGCATATTGTATCGGGCTTTGCCAAGAAGTGGAATCTGTAATAATAGAGTCAAATGCTTCTTTGGCCATTTCGAATTTAACAGCAAAAAAAAAATGAGGAAATTATTTGTCTACTTCTTTTTCTCTAAAAAACTTGAATTTTGATGTAAAGTAGGTATGTACTTACCACTTGCCAGCTCTAAATCTCTTAACATAAATTAAAACTATCTTTGTTATTCTAATGCATTTGAATCCCCCCCTCTCTCTCTCTCTCTCTCTCTCTCTCTCTCTCTCTCTCTCTCTCTCTCTCTCTCTCTCTCTCTCTCTCTCTCTCTCTCTCTCTCTCTCTCTCTCTCTCTCTCTCTCTCTCTCTCTCTCTCTCTCTCTGCAATGTGCAACTCCTTAGAGAAAAATATTTTTCACTTTATTCTGAACAAGGAAATTCACTATTTGCAACAAAAATTAATTTACAAGTCGAAAAGTGAAAGTGGACATCTTATAAACATAATTAGGAAATTTACAGTTAAACCACAATATATCCATGGGAGATATGATATATATATATATATATATATATATATATATATATATATATATATATATATATATATATATATATATATATATATATATATATATATATCCAGCTGTGGTTGTTAGCAATAGCGATAAGTATTATATCACTGAAAGTGTGGCCAGGGGAGGAGAAGTGTTCTGCGACCGGGTTTCTGTACAGCTTTTTTGTCATCCAATCAGAAGGTCTATCCTTTTGTGTAGCTTTTCAGTTTCTCCGACATACTGAAGGACACAGATCTTACATGTGATGAGATAAATCACATTCTCTGTTTTTGCACGTTTTGTTTGGACCATATATGTTTAGTTTTTCTTTAGTCACTGTGCTAGTAAATGTCTTGGTCTCTATCATATGTTGACAGGTTTTGCATCTTTTATCGCCACAGGGTCCAGATTGACAAGGTTGGTTTTGACTAGCGATTGGCGTTAGCTTTGCCCTGACTAGGATGTCCTTTAGGTTTTTTGGTCTCCGGTAAGCTACTACAGGTTTGTTCGGAAGTATTAGGTTTAGTATGTCTGACGATTGCACGGTTGGCCAGTGGCTTGCGATGATTTTACCTACTTTGGGATTGTCTGGGTGATAGGTCAGAATAAATGGTATTCTATCAACCTTTTCTTTCTGTCCAGATCTGAGTAGGTCATCACGGTTTATTTGTTTGGCCCTTTGGATTGCCTCCGCAATCAGGTCTTTATCGTAGCCTCGGTAAATTAAATGTTTAGCCAGCTCTTCAGACCTTTCTAGGAATCTTTCATCGTCGGAGCAAATTTTGCGTATCGTCAGTGCCTGGCTATATGGAATGTTCCTAATGCAGTGTTTTGAATGACAGCTGGTTGGGAGGAGATACTGATGTTTGTCGGTTGGTTTCGAGTGTAATTTGTTTTCCACCAGTCTGGTTGTTGTGTCCAGGAAAACATGGTTTGAGTTGGAAATTTCTGCCGTGAATTTTATTGAAGGATGGAAGTTGTTTGCCTTTACAAAAGATGGAATAAAATAAATCACGACGCTTCCATGAAACTCACAGCCCTACTTAGTAAAAACGTAAACCATCAATATCTAGTCAAATCAGCAACCATTGAAGAACTAAAACATCAGCTCAATTCCGTCTCAACAGAAGAACAATTGAAAACGTTTTACTCCAAATTAAATAAAGATCAACAAAGACTCTCTTCGAAACTATACAAAGTCAGAGATAGAAAGCTTAGAAGTCATGATCTACAACCAAAGGACTGTTGTGAAGAAACTTCAATTGACGAAATTTCTTCTAAAAAAATTTCTTCTAAAAACAACCGTAGGAAGAAAAATCGCCGCAAAAGGAAGAATCGCAAGCACTCTGTAACAAACACTAATGCAACTGTTACTAACACAGTAGTCAACATCTCCAATTTAGAACTTACTGATGCAGAAATAAAACTTTTATCGAAAGGTTTGAGTTTCTGTCCCCGTCCAAAAACATACGACAGAGGGAAGCTTAAGAATGACACCGGAGA